AAAAATATCACCATTTGAGGCAATAACCTGCTTCAGACGTTTTGGGAAATCATTTACGGTTCTTCACAACTGATCAATCGACAATTCATTCCATTCCTTCAGCAGATCAAGCTTCAAGCTATTGATACTCTTGTGTGGCTTGCAGCAGACCTTGGCCTGCAAGTAGGACCACACACTGTAATCCAATGGATTCAAATCAGGTCTACTAGCAGGCCATTCTTCTGGGGAAATCAAGTCTGGAAAGTGAATTCTGCAGAAGCCGATGGTGGATATTGCCTTGTGAGCTGGTGCTGAGTCCTGCTGGAATGTCCAAGGCTGGGATTTGAAATGTTCCTGAGTCCAGGAGAGTAGCACCTTCTTCAACACACTCTTGATAATAGCTGGCATTGATCTTGGCCTGAGGCTGCACAAAATGCAAGGGAGTTTTGCCAGAAGCACAAACACCACCCCACACCATCACACTGCCTGGTTTTTGAACTCGATGGACATATCGCTGGTGGGACTTGAAAGAGGAAAGCTTTTTACCCCAGAGGCGATTGTTTTTGGGGGTTGTAAGCTTGCTCTACAGTGAAAATATTTTTTGTCAGAAAAAAAAGAATCCTTTGGAGTGAGGACTGGTTAAACCGTTTGAGCAACTGGTGGGACCTTTGAACTTGTTTCTTCTTGTTGATCTCTGTAAGCAGCTGCATCTTTTGTTTTTTAAAAGGCTCTATGCAGAGCTTTCCCCTGATATATCTTCGCAAGGTCTCTTTGTCCACTTTCAAAGTTTGCGCAAGCTTTCTTCCAGAATGCTCTGAATTTCGGTATAGCATTTGCCTGACTCGTTTCTGAAGCTTCTTATCCTGGAACACGGAAGGACGTCCACTTATTTGGCGATCTGCTGCTGATCCAAGCTCATTGTATCGCCGAATAATGCTGTAGATAGTAGATCGAGGGGTTTTGGTGAGCTTTGAGATCCTGCTTGCTGGAAGACCAATCTGGTTTTGAAATATCACTGCTTCTCTTTGATGCTTGGGAACCATATCAAGAGCTTTCGACCTGAAACTTGGAAGGCAAATAGATCTGTAGTAGATGTTGCTACACTCAAAAAATTACCTGGCTACCACTTGTCCAACGGTTTTTTCAATAGGTGTCCAAGGACTTTTGAGTCAACCTGTAGATCACCGACAAAAATCAACCAGGAAACGATCAACGGAGCTCGGATACTGCGCTCAACATTAGTGAAGCACATGAAAGTTGACCTGAAATTGCATCCATATCGTCCAACATTTTTTCAGGAGTTGACAGACGCCGCAGACGAGAGGCTTTTAAAAAAAATGATACGGATAAGTAGCACCACTGCTAAGCAGGAGAAAGTTATCTTCAGCGCGATTTATCGAAGCTCCCAATCCCGGAACATTGTCTTCTGGTCGAAGGAGAACCCACACTTTTATGAAGAGCTGGAACATAACCCGCCACATGTTATGATATCGTGATATGGGCTGGTATGAATGCTAAACGACTATTTGGACCATATTTCTTTGATGGTCCAGTAAATCAGCAGAGTTACCTGGCCATGCTGAAAGATTGGCTTCCTCCTCATTAGGAGAACCTCGGCATCAAAGATGATGTCAGGTTTCAACAGGATGGTGCACCGACCCATTATGCACTTACTGTCAGAGAATACCTTGGAGAGGTTTTTGGAGATCGTTGGATCGGCCAAGGATCATCTGTGCTGCCTGCTCCACTCGACTGACAACCTCGGAGCCCAGACCTGTCCATGTGTGACAACTCTCTTTGGGGCTTCATAAAATAAACAGTTTCACATGAACGCTATCAAAGCACAAAAGACCTCAAGAAGCTATAAAAAAATGCCTTTAATAAAGTTACACCACAGACGCGTAAGCGAATGTCCATCAGAACATGGCGCAAAATCGTTCTTTGCTATGAAAAGGATGGAGCTCACACAGACACTGTGTCCAATTAAATCTTGTGTCATGAGTATGAAAATAGTTTAACTGTTGATCTAATGCTGTAATTATATTGGAAACAATTGTTACAAATAAGTTTCATTGCTGGTCGCATTATTTTATCACAACGCCAAAAAGTAAAGGGGGGGAACAAGACATTGTGACCACTCCGTAAATGGATGATATATGGCTGGACATTAAATTCACACAACCCATACTCTAGAATGAGTTATACATAATTCGGCACATGGGGTCTTTCCATAAATGTCAGCTTTCGCGATATGACGGTCTTGCCCGGTTTCCCGTGACACAAACACGAACCACGACCCAGTCTTCTCAGACAGCCTCTTCTCTCCCCTTTATTAGGAGCCGTTCCACCAAAAAATACATTTCTGCTTAGACTTTCAAGGGGTTTCTCAAGTCCCCCTTGAAGCAATTACTTCAACAGAGACCTGGAGTTCTCAAGCTTACACTGTAAAAAATTTTCCCCGTCGGGAACTCCTGAGAGCACGTAAGAGAACAGAGAGGTGTTTCTTTTTATACCATGTTAAAGTGTTTCCGATTCCCGGTATGTGCACATCAATGCGTTCATGTGTGCAAGGAGGTCCTCCATGAATGTGCTCTAATCTGAAGGACAAGTTTAGGAACACTTGGGGTTGGAAGGGTAGGGCGCATGGGAACATGTCAGCAAATGGGGACGCCATGCTCAGATCGGAAAATCCATTATGTGTTAAATAAGGCCATTCTTCAAGGTTCATTCGTTCCCTAAGTTGCACTGGAATCTCTTAACTTGAAAGAGATATACTCATCGCCAAAAAAGTCACAACAAAGAAGGAGTTGAGCGATATTGATGAAATTTGGTAAACATACTCGTATTAGTGTGTCATGAAATTGCTGCTAGTTTCAAGGTCGTAGGTTGAATATTCCCAGAGAGTACTTGCCAAACATCCCAAATGCTACTTGGGGGGACCCAGGACAATTCTGCGCAGGGTGAGGGACACAAGAAAGCATGTGAGGTCATATTACTCCATGAGACCATGAGGCCCTGTTTTCAAGGATGAATCCAAAACATGATCACTGGCAAATGTTGCGTGGAGTGAGTATAGCCTTTTTTTTTAAATAGCATTATGGTAAAAGGGGTGGTTTTCGCGCACTATCCTTGTATTTTGAACTTCCGCATCCCATGACGATTTTATCCTCCGTCGGAGACTTGAGCGAAAGACCTCATTTTGTAGGGTGCCAAATTG